TTTTTACCTTTTGGATGCTACCTTATAGACAACTGTGTTATTATGTATTGATAGACCAGAACCAATTTGTTCAGACTTCTTGTGCAAGAGGAGGCATAGAAATAAAGTTGTTTGTAATTTATGGCTTAAGTCTGGGTAGTACTTGATAGACTTAAATTTTACCCTATTTAGCATGCTAAATTGTATTCCATCTGGTCATTGCTGCCACTAGCTGATGCTTCTAAGCTGAGAGTGGAGTTGTAATAGAACAGGATAAATTGACAGTTGACCTAGTGTAGCTAAATTGATAATGTAATATATAGCACTTTGGTCACATTCTTTGTTAAGTTTAATTAGGTCTAGAGTATTACATACTTTAGACAGTTATTTCTCATGATTTAATATCTCTGAAATTGTGAGATGTCATATAATTGATGTTATCTTAGAGTTGCTGTGGCTAGGTGGCAGTCCTGACATAGTTTTATTACTGGCACATGCACAAAATAGTGATGGCAATTCATAGTTTCATCAGTTCTGTGAGATATGTGCATAGATGGCACTATATATGTTGAATTTAAATGTAATGCAAAATGCCTTTAAAAAAGAGGCAGTGCGATTTAACATTGAAACAGTTACTATGGAGGAACAAAGAGGGAGGACGTACACTATCTGATTTCAAGACTTAGTATCAAGCTGTAGTAATCCACGCATTGCCCTAATGATATAAAGATAGACAGATAGATGAATGAAAATAATGGAGATTGCATGAATGGGCCTATGCTATTTTGACAAAGACGTCACTGCAATTCAATTGAGAAATGAATGCCTTATCAACAAAAATAGTACTGGAATAATTGGATAAATATATGAGTGGAGAGGAATGACTCAACCATTACCTAACACCATATACAAACATTTATTTAAGATAGATTATACACACAAACTTAAAAGCTAAAACTTTAAGGCTTCTAGAATAAAGCATAATAGGATGTTTTTGTGACCCTGAAATAGTGTTTTTTTGTTTTTTGTTTTTTTGTTTTTTAAAGGGTGAACCATAAAAGAAAGAAATTTTAAAACTTCCATTCATCAAAAGACACCACTAAGAAAATGAAAAGGCCAGGCACATGCTGAGGGGAAATCTTTTTATTGCACATTTCTAACAAAAGATTGATATCTAGAATCCTGTGTGTCAATATTTTTTAAAATCCAATTAAAAATAAGAGATATTGACACTCCACAAAAGAAGGTATACAAATGGCCAATAAGGACATGAAAAAAATTCTCAGTATCATCAGTCATTGAGGAAGTAAAAATTAAAATGATGTTGAGATGCTATTTCACATACCCATTAGAAAGACTAAAATTGAAAAGACTAGAACTCGCATACATTTTTAGTGGAAGTACAAAATGGTTTAACTGCTTTGGAACACTTCCTGGCAGTTTCTTATAAAGTTACACATACCCCATAATTCACTCAAAGGTATTTATATAAGAGAAATGAAAGCATGTGTTCACAAAAACACTTAATATAGGAATATTTATATAAGTGTAATAACCCAGACTTTGAAACTACCCTGCTGTAGACTGAACATTTGTGTCCCACAAAATCTGTAATGTTGAGACTTAGTCACTAATGCCACAGTATTTGGGAAGTAATTAGGTCACGAGTGTTCTGTCCTCATAAATAGAATAAGCGCCCTTATGAAAGTGATCCCAGACAGCTTCTTTGCTCCTCCTTCTGTATGAGGACACAGCAGAAATACTGTCTACAAACCAGGAAGTGGGACCTCGCTAGACACTAGACCTGCCAATATCTTTATCTTGACTTCCTCACCTTCAGAGCAGTGATAAAGAAATTTCTGTTGTTTACAAGCCATCTCAGTCAGTCTGTGCTGTTTCTATTATTATGCCCTGTACATACTAAGATACATCCAAATGTCCACAGCAGGAGAATATTTTCTTATCATCGAAATTTAATTAGCAGTAAAAAAGAATGAACTACTGATAACACCACACTGCAGGTATGATGATCAGAAACATTACATTGAATGAAGGAAGCCAGGTACAAAATAATACATCTGGTATTATGAGTGTGTATATGAATTCCCCAAACAGGCAAAACTAATGGAAAGCAGAACAGTGGTTGCCTGTTGGGAAGGAGAATGGCATTTGACTGAAAGGTATATATGGAAACTTTCTGATTGATGCAGATGTTCTTTGTCTTGATTGGAATGGTGCTTATACTCAGTATACGTTTATCAAAACTTGTCTATTTGCACATTTCACTGTATGTAAATTTTATGCCAATTAAAATGTTGTATATTCAATATTATACTGAAATGAAGCAGTGGAGTGCAAATTTGATATTTGAATTCTTCTGCATTAGAAGAATTATTTCCCTATTCCTTTTTATTTTTCTGAGGCAGAGTCTCTGTGTCATCCAGACTGGCAGGCAGTGGCTTGATCCCACCTCACTGCAACCTCTGCTTCCCAGGTTCGAGTGATTCTCGTGCCTCGGCCTTCAGAGTAGCTGGGATTATAGGCATGCACCAACACACCTGGCTAATTTTTGTATATTTAGTAGATAGGGTTTCACCATGTTGGCCAGACTGGTCTCAAACTCCTGACCTCAAATGATCCACCCACCTTGGTCTCCCAAAGTGCTGGGATTACAGTCGTGAGCCACCGCGCCTGGCTCTAATTCCATATATATTATTTTATAAAGCAACAACCAGGTGCTTTATGGAACCTAAAAAGGGAAGATGACAATAGTAGATGAACCTATTTTGCCTGAGATACCTATGAAACAATTGCCTATCACATACATCCAGCAGTGCAGCCGAAGCCAGAAGAAATAACCAGTTTTCTGGAGGGATGATCTTGACTGATTTATGTAGAATACATAGTTTAATTGGGAGTATATTTTTCTTTCATAGTGGCACAATATAATGGTACAATATAATGGTGTGTCTCACAATCATTGGTGTCTTAGATTTGATTAACTGCAGTGGGGTGAACAGGTAAAACTTATATTGACTCTGTGGAATACCAATCTTTTTAGTAGACTTAACTTTAGGGGAAGAGGTCATAAGATCTATTTTTATGTTATCAAATGAGATCCTTGCTGACAAGCATTTTGAAATAAAGCTTTTTTTTTTTTCTTTTTCTTTTCTTTTTCAACTGCTAGTAGAAGTGACTACAATTCTAAGAAAATACCTAGATATAATTGGAAATTAACATGCTAGAGCATCTAAAAATTCTAGGATGGTGGTTAATTATAAAAACCATGTTAATGATTCTGAACTTTTATAAAACATCAACTGATGTGTAGACATGCAGATGCTGTATAACTTATTTCTTAGGCATCAAAAGTTGAAATAGGTGTATCATAGATTTTTCGTTAGTTTGGTATTTTAATCATTTTTAGGTATTTTATATTCTAGTCATATTATTAAAGTTTATAAGTAATTTCGTACAAGTAAATTTATACTTTAATACCATGTTAAAATTTCAGAAGCCAGAAAAGAGAGAGATGCAGTCTTATATTTAACAATTTAAACATTTTAAATCCCATGTAGTTACAGATTGAGATAAAGCAAAGCATTTCCCTTGGCGGTAGAATCCCTTTGTTCTGTGTGTGTGGAACATAAGTTCAAGAGGGCAGGGACTGTGTTTTGTACATGTATATTGTGAAAGTTATAGCATGATAATACTGCACGTACTATTCACTTAAAACATTTTTTGTTATGGCTTTTTAAAATTTTTTTATTTATTAATTTTTTTGGCTGCTTGCTTGTTGTGGCTTTTTACTAGTACACAGTCTCAAATAATGTACACCTATTAAAATTTTAAATAATGTGTTTCATTAACCAAAGTATTAGTACTGTCTTTGGCATTTTCTACACTTAGCTTGATTAATAAATAAACCAAATGCCATAGGAAGCAAATTATTATCTGGGGGAAATTTTTAAACGATATAGAAATCTTAACTTTTTAATCAAATGTAAAATGGATGTGAGAACAATCAGCTCAGAAACAAAGTTCAGTATTATCATTATCACCATGAACTAAAAACTTTCTAGACAATAAAATTAATATCACTTTCTGATGAATCCAATATATGGAATTGAAGTTTTTCAGAGAACTCCAGTTAGTGCAAGTTCTCCTCTGTTTTTGGTCCTTCATCCTTTCATGTCTTAAACTTTCGAAGCAGAATGGCACTCTCATACATTGATTGTATTCCCTCCATTTTATTGTAGAGACTAGATCATAGCTAATAAAATACGTTATTGGACTGTTGGGATTATGTGTATATTTAGAAAATAAGACTTGTAAAATACTTTGTGAACATTAGCAAATTTTAGAGGTGGCAACAGCTATCCAGATTGTTATTTTTAAGAATATCTGTCTTGAGAATTGATCCACGTAAGTAAGTTGATAAATGCCACTAGTTGATAATAATCGCAGTATTTCCTAAAATAATCATCATACACTGATTTAGTTTTCATACTTTAAAATTTTCAAAGCTCTCTGAAGTATGATGGTGTTTTTGTAATTTTGCTGAAGCATAAAATGTTTCTTTTTTTTTTTTTTTTTAATGTTTTGTGAAGCTCCTGGATGGGCTAAGTCACATAAAGAAGCCTGCTAGCCACAGCAGCTTTTTCACTTCAAGTGACCTTTTTATTTCTAATAAAGTTTCTCTTATCATGAAGTTTCCCTCTAATAGAATTTGAGAAAATAAGGATTAGTGTGGAGAATGCTAAGTGGTAGTTGAATGAATATAAATTGTGTGTTGATCACATACACACACACACCAACCTAGAGTCTGAGTGAGCCTGAGTTCTATTTGATGTATGAAGACCCGTACTCTTCATGATCTGTACTTGCAGAGCAGGTTTATTTAAAAACAAATATCTTTAGTTTAAAACTATTAATGTTTAAAAAGTTATTTTAAAATAGCGTTTATTTTTCCATTTTCATCACATGGAATACATTTTTCTCATCTCTTGTTTTTTTCAAAGATTTGTCCCATCAGATGAAAAGAAGAAACAAGGTTGTCAACGAGAAAATGAAACTCTAATACAAAGAAGAAAAGACCAGATCCAACCAGGGGGCACTGCAATTAGTGTCACAGTACCTTATAGAGTAGTAGACCAGCCCCTTAAACTTATGCCTCAAGACTGGTAAGATAGTCTATTGATTTCTTTTTACAGGCATTGCACCCAAGAGAATGAGTGTTGTTATTGCCATTGATGATGATGGTATTTGCCCAGGCAGAGCTGGAACTCCTGGGCTCCATCAGTTCTCCTGCCCCAGCCTCCCAAGAAGCTGGGACTACAGGCACAAGCTACTGGACCTGGCAGTCTATATTTTTTAAATATTCATTTGTTTTCTGTATATCGTTGGTTTTTTCTTGTGTAAGCAAGTATCAGATTTTATCATGGGTTCTAAATGGAAACTGTCCTTGAAAACTATGTTAATATATGTTAATTTGGTCATTAATAATGTTAACATTCTAATAATTCCTTAGTAACTTTATATTTTGGATAGGAAAACTTGATTTTACTTATAAGAAGAAACATTCTAACTTCTGGAAAACCCAGTATAAAAAATTCTTTCCACATGTTCATTCTGCATCAGCTTGTAGACTAATGTTGTAAGGTAGTCTATGTTTTAGATTTTTGGTTTGGAGAATTCTCATTTTCTGGTAAGAAATGGTAAGTGAAGGCATACTTTTACTGTAAGGGAATAATTTAATAAAAATAATAGGAACAGCTCTTTTATCATGGTTTGACCCTTTTATTGCATTAAAATGTTCTTTAACAAAATAGTAAGCTGTTTATAATATAAAGTGCCTCTAAATTTAGACACACAAATTACCTTATTTCTGTAAACTGGAGTAGTAGTTGAGTATGTATCTGTGATACAGAAAATGCAATACATGCATGACACATTAGACGAATTTACCTTTGAAGTACTTGTGAGTTCAGGTATTAGGAAGTCAAGGCAATGAGAATATTAATATTAAAATTTTTCTACAGAATAAAGAGTTTTTAAGTTATAATTCTCCCCTGGCACCTAATAGATACTTTGAGTGATACAGAAAGTGAATAAGATGAGAATTGTAGATATCAAGCTGAAAACCAAGTAAGAAAGTTACATCATTTGTGTTTTATGTTTGCAGTTATTTGCAGAAATAATTCAGTGCATACAAATGTCATCACTATGCTGTAAAATACTGCTTGTGTGTATTAGTTAGGGTCTCCAGCCATTGAAGCCTCCAGCATTTTCCCTGCTTCTTTATTTTCCTTTAATTGTCCTTTCAAGAATTCATGGGGAATAACATTTTTATTATCCTGCTTCCCAGCTGATCCTGTGAGACCCAGTAAAATATAGGTGACCTCTGTCCAGCAGATTCCCTTTGCTTTGGCAAGCATCTTGGGCTTTCAGCTGTTTCAAGTTACATCATAAAATTGAAGGATTATTTAATAGTGGATTCTGCATTGCCAAAGATGATTTTGACAGTTTGAGGCATGTGTCCCATGAAAGGAGAAATTTTTTTGCTCTAAGATTTAATTTTAGCCTCAGAGATTTTGAGCAGGTAACAAATTTTAAGCTTGCAGTTTTTAATAGTTGTTGTAGATCTTCTCCTTGAATAGAAGGTAACCCTGGTTTAATGTTTTGTTTTGTGTCTGCGGTCGTCATTAATGCAATGGTTACCAAAGTGTGGTCTGCAGACATCAGGGCGTTCCTAAGACCCTTTCACGGAGTTGCAAGGTCAAGACTATTTTCATTATAATACTGAGATGGCCATTCTCATGATTTATCTGCTCTCAAATAGTAACAGTAGCATACCCAGTGCCCCAGCATAATAATTTATTCTCCTCCTTCCCTTCCTCCCTTCTTCCTTTTCTCTCTACTTCTACTTCAGTTTCTGTTCTCCAGTATACCCACACATTTGTTTCTTCATTTGTACAATGAGGATTCTGATAGTATCCAGCGAGGTCATTGGATTGTTTTGAAGATTAAATGTGTTAACGTAATAAGTAATCCATAAAGTCCTTAAAATGGCATTCGACATATAGTAAATGTTCATAGTAAATGTTACTAATGTTAACCATTACTGTTATTGTTGTTTTGTTCCCGCCTCTTTAGTTACTGTCTTTAACTGTTTGTGGCAGTACTACTTATAATTTCTCAGTTTAATTAAATATTTTGTAAAATAATCAAATTTGAGGGCCTACAAAGAAGTTTGTTCTTTCTGGGAAAATTAGGTTGATTGGTTGGAAGAAAATTGCTTTAAAAAACACTTATAAGTTTGGGGTGAATGAAACAATTGTAAAACAGTTGTAAAAATTATAAAAGTCTGAATGATTTCTGTGCTCAGATTACTTCCCAAGTAATCAGAAGAACTCAGATAAGGCCCTGGGGCCTCATAATATGGTTGATGAGTTCCTATAATGTAATGTTTTTAAAGTAAAATATTTAAGATGTGTTTAAATTTTAAATGATTTTTTAATCAAATTTTTGATTAATAGTTATCAACCACTATTCCCTATTGCGTTGGAATAGTGGGCCCCTGCTGTAATTAACGGAAGGGAACAGAAAAGGCAAACAAGATTACATACAAGTGTTGTCCATGCCATTATGTTTACTTAGATGTAAAAACCAGATGTGTGGGAAGTGTAACAATCATTAATACACTCTAATGACAATATCACATAGAGAAGTTGGTAAGTACTTACTGTATTTGCCTCATAGAAGGATTGATAAGACTCTGTCACATGAACGATTATGGGACTGTTGTCTTAAGGGATTTATAGTAACTAAAGCTCAAGTTTGAGATAATCTCCCTCTGTCCCCTACCTCCCCACACCCCCTTTTCTACTTGTAGGGACCGCGTTGTAGCCGTTTTTGTGCAAGGTCCTGCATGGCAGTTCAAAGGTTGGCCATGGCTTTTGCCTGATGGATCACCAGTTGATATATTTGCTAAAAGTAAGATTCTCTTTGTTACTGAATGTTCTCACTTTGTTTAAGAGAGTCATATGGTTCTGCGCATATGATGTGTATATCAAAGGATTGCTGTTAAATAATATATATTATGTGAATATTTAAGCACCTGTGACATATTTTTAAAAGTTTTGTACATTAATACTTTCTGTGTAGGTATATCTGAAAGTGAATATTGCCTATCCGCAATATTAATAATTATTTTTAGATCACTTAAAAATCATTAATGCTGTTGCATGTCCATACATTTTGATTAAAATTAATGCCAGTTTTAAATGGGTTGGCTTTTGATGAACAGAAATGTGTCAATTAAAATGCCATAATGACATTTACGAGCTCTCCCTTTCATCTGAAATGATTGTAAGTTGATTGATTTTTTCTCTTCATTCAGGGCTCTGCTGAAGTGTTTTCTCTTTGGAGAATCTGTCTCTGACTTTCTTCTTTCAAAGAACTATCACCGTCTCCTATTTGCGCTTTAAGCTTTTTTGTTTTCTTGATAGCATTTACCATTCCTAGACATTTTCTAATTGTTGTTCTAAGTGTTCCCTAGCCAGAATGCAAGTTTCATGATGGGAGAGTCCTCCTGTGCCTTATTTACCTTTGAGTCCTCAGCACAGAAGAGTGCCTGGCATAGAGAGGCTTTCAGTAAATATCTGCTGAGTGAATTATTTCATGCATGTTTAATATTTATTAAACATATGAGCATAAATTGATACAACAAAAGATTAATTTCGCCTGTTTATTTGCAGGAAGGGGTATTCCAACAATTCTTTAATCAATTATTCAATTAAATTAGTAACATAAGCAAAATTAATTTTAAAATGTCATTTTCATGAAACAAATATGTTTATTAGAAGTGACAACTTTAGGCTGGGCGCGGTGGCTCATGCCTGTAATCCCAGCACTTTGGGAGGCCAAGGTGGACAGATCATCAGGTCAACAGATCGAGACCATCCAGGCCAACATGATGAAACGCCATCGCTACTAAAAATACAAAAATTAGCTGGACGTGGTGGCTCGCGCCTGTGGTCCCAGCTATTCGGGAGGCTGAGGCGGAAGAATCGCTTGAACCCAGGAGGCGGAGGTTGCAGTGAGCCGAGATTGCACCACTGCACTCCAGCCTGGCGATAGAGCAAGACTCTGTCTCAAAAAAAAAAAAGTGACAACTTTAATTATTATGAATATTGATTGTACTATGAACAGTCCTGTGAAATGTCCTTTGTTTTTAGCAGCCCCAGTTTTTGTTAGTGGTACCATCATATTTCCATAGAAAGTACCCAAGCTTGAAAGTTGTAGTGTTCTTCTATTACCTTCATTCATTTAAAAAAAAAAATTCTATTATTACATTATGATAGCTTTTTATGTTATCTCTGAAACTTGAGTAATGCACAGAGTTGGTAAATAGAAAGTTAAAAAGAATGGGAATTTGAATCAAAGTAAAATGTCAATGTGAATTGTTTTACCTACTTGCTTGCCTTGTTGAATAATATTTCAACAAAATGATTAGAGTGTCTTCAAGATATAAATGTATGAAATTCATTAAGAATACAAAAATGTTTTGTATTTTCTTCAAATTGTTAGTCTTTTGAAATTTAGATAAGAATTTAGAGAATTTTCTTTTAACAGTCATCAGTGATTTACTTTCATTAGCTATTCTTTCTCTTTCACCTATTCCTTCTACACTGACTCCTCTCTCAGCATTTAAGAATACTTTCCCCTTCCATCTTTTTTTTTTTTTTTTTTGAGACGGAGTTTCGCTCTTGTTACCCAGGCTGGAGTGCAATGGCACGATCTCGGCTCACCGCAACCTCCACCTCCCGGGTTCAGGCAATTCTCCTGCCCCAGCCTCCTGAGTAGCTGGGATTATAGGCATGTGCCACCATGCCCAGCTAGTTTTTTGTATTTTTAGTAGAGACGGGGTTTCACCATGTTGACCAGGATGGTCTCGATCTCTTGACCTCGTGATCCACCCGCCTCGGCCTCCCACAGTGCTGGGATTACAGGCTTGAGCCACCGCGCCCGGCCTTTCCCCTTCCATCTTAAACAACAAAACATAAACCCTTACCCTTAACCTCACCCTTTCCCCTAGCTGCTGCTTTTTCCTTTTATAGCTACACTTTAGAAAGAATGGTCTCTACCAACTCATTTTCTGTTCAAATCCCCTATAGTCTGGCTCTTGCTCTGCACTAAAACTATTTTCACTAAAGTCACCAGTGACTCAAATAATGGATACTTTTAACTTATCAGAATTTGATTCTGTTGACTCCTTTACTCCTTTTTAAGTTACTTTCCAAGTACCTGCTACACCTTGTCTCAGATTTCCTTGCTAACTTTTCCTCTGATTAGCAACTGCAGTGGACCCTTCAACAGTCACGCAGTTGAAAACTTCCATATAACTTTTGACTCCTCCAAAATATGCATTCTAATCGCCTACTATTGACTGGATGCCTTAACTGATAACATAACCAGTCGCTTAACACGTATTTTGCATGGTAGTGTTGTATACTATATTTGTACGATAAAGTAAGCTAGAAAAAAGAAAATGATAAGAAAATATATTTACTGTTCATTAAGTGGAATTGGGTTATCATAAATGTCTTCATCTTCACTGTCTTCACATTGAGTAGGCTGAGGGAGGAGGAAGGGTTAGTCTTGCTGTCCCAGGTGGCAGAGGCAGAAGAAAATCCGTGTATCTAGTGGACCCACTCAGTTGGAACCTGTGTTGTTCAACGATCAAATGTATATGTTTATGTCTTTATTTCTTTTGTCCCTTAACACCCTCTAAATACCCTTTTCTCCCTCTAAATACCCTCTCAAGAAGATCTCATAGCTTTCCATTACCATTTATATTCCCTTATTCTAAAAATTAGGTCTCTAGCTTGATATTCTGGACCTGTATAACCCACTCACTATCAGATAACTTCTCTATGATATCTCATTGGTATGTCAAACTCAGCCTTTTCCAAATGTAGGTTCGATTGTTTTACTCTCTTCCATATTCCTCAAACTATTTCTTATTATCTGTTAGTCCTTTTCAGGAAGTTGCCTAAGCCAGAAACTTGGGAGTATATTAGCTCTTAGCTCTTAATTGGTCTTCTCGCTTTTACTCTTGTGGCTTCCGGTCGTTTTCTCCATCAGAATACACTGTATAGCATAGGGGAAAACTGAGGGTATTTGGGAGCATCTCTATGGGCCTTGATAGAAAATTGTATTATATTTTCTTAATGTCATAATTATCATTAAATATATCATTTGAGAGAAGATATTAAATATTGAATTGCATAAAATTGTCAAATCTTTATAAATTTAGAATGAGAAGTTTAAGCTGATATCTGGATATATTTTAAATATGTTATACTTGAGGTGGCTATATTTATTCATTGGTTGATGTTAAAAATTTTTTTATTGATATATAATTGTACATGTTTATGGTGCACATGTGATACTTTGTTATATGGATAGAATGTGTAATGATCAAGTCAGAGTATTTAGGGTATGTATGGCCTTGAGTATTTGTTATTTCTGTGTTTTGGGAACATCTCAAGTCATCTCTTTTAGCTGTTTAGAAATATATAATAGATTATTGTTGGCCGGGCATGATGGCTCACGCCTGTAATCCCAGCACTTTGGGAGGCCGAGACAGGCGGATCACTTGAGGTTGGGAGTTCGAGACCAGCCTGACCATGGAGAAACCCCATCTCTACTAAGTACAAAAATTAGCCACACATGGTGGCAGGTGCCTGTAATCCAGCTACTCAGGAGGCTAAGGCAGGAGTATCACTTGAACCCAGGAGGTGGAGATTGTGGTGAGTTGAGTTCACGCCATTGCACTTCAGCCTGGGCAACAAGAGCGAAACTCCATCTCAAAAATAAATAAATAAAATAAAATAAAAATACATTACTATTAACTAGTCTCCTACTCTGCTTTTGAACATTGGAATTTATTCCTTTGTGCAGCTGTTCATCATGGCACACGTTTAACTATGTAAAAGTCCTGCACATGTACCCCTAAACTACATCCTGTAGTCCATTTTTAGTTTTGAGAAATATTCATACTGTTTGCCATCGTGGCTCTACCAACTTATATTTCCATCAGCAGTGTAGGAATTCCCTTTTCTCTGCATCCTTGCCAGCATCTGTTATTTTGTCTTTTTAGTAATAGCCATTCTAATTGGGGTAAGATGATATCTCATTGTAGTTTCGATTTGCCCTTCCCTGGTGGTTAATGATGTTGAGCTTTTTTTCATATATTTGTTGGCTATTTATTTGTATGTCATCTTTTGAGAAATACCTGTTCATGTCTTTGCCCGCTTTTTAATGGGATTTTTTTTTAATTGTTGAGTTTCTTGCATATTCTGGATATTAATTCCTTGTTGGATGGATTGTTTGCAGATATGCTGTCCCATTCAACAGGTTGCTCTTCACTCTGTTTATTGTTTCCATTGCTGTACAGAAACTTTTTACTTTAATATAATCCCATCTGTCTATTTTTGTTGGCTGTGCTTTTGAGGTCTTAGCCATAAAGTCCTTGCCTTGACCAGTGTCCTGAAGCAGTTTTCCGATGTTGTTTTGTGTTCTCTTGTGTCCCACTCAGTTTCTATGATATCATTATTTTGAATTCTTTTTCTGATATTTTTTAAGTTTATTTTTCATTGGGAGCCAGTTTTTTTTTTTTTTTTTTTTTTTTTTGTGGCGGGGGGGGGGGGGGGGACAGGTATCATAATTTCTTACTTTTTCTGTTTTCTTGTGTCCTCTGTTTATATCTGCATATCTGGTGTAAACATTGCTTCTTGCAGTTTTTTGAATTTGCTTTTTTAGTGGAGGGCTTTTTCTGAAGATGTACCTATGATTTTGATTGGATGGGGCACTTTGGCCTTGATTCTTGGTACTGGCCATATAATTTATTTACCTATAAACAGCGTCAGTAGTGTTTGTGGTTTCCTCAGTGGCTTAGGGTATGGTTGTTAGTGGAGGCTGTGGGGAAG